GGTTGCAGGTACATTGTGGCATGATCTGTGTGTTCTCTTGATTGTGATTGTTCATGACTAGCAGTTGACTAGTCATATGTGTATTTGGTCAAGGTTTAAAGTGTGTGAAGATTGCTGTGTTGTTTTGTCTTGTTTGTGTAATTAAATTTACCATTAGTCACCTAAGTAAAAATTTCAGGATTTACATCCAAATTTTTATGAGCAGCAACATAATCCATAGAAGTAATGTCTCCTTAAGGTATTGTCTAAGAATAAAATAATTATAATTATTTTCAGTTACTTTTAACTCATCTACTTATTTAACTAAACTTGATGTATAATTTTGGGTGCAGATGCAAGAATCGTTTACCCTTGGAAATTGTTACTTATTTTGATTCAAATTAGATGTACTTCATGGTCATTGTTTGTTACCGTCATTACTTTTTTTTTATTCAAACTCGATGTATTTCATGGTCATCATTTGTTAATGGAGTATATGATCATGTTTTTCTTCTACCACCTTCTCTTTTTTTTAGTTGGAAGCAACATTTAGATTACAATGCAATGATTATTCTCTTATTCTTACGGAATTTCTCGTAAAGAATTGTTGTAAGGCATATAAATTGAATAGTTGGCCACTTTCACCAATGAGAAGAAGTATAGCACAACACTAAGAAAGTACAAGGCCAAAAAATTATAAAATTATTGAAGAATTACCAATAACTTTTTTAAATGAATGAAATTTTCATTCAACATAAATTTTAGTCGGTACAAAGTATGAACAAATGACAAGAAGCACATGTCGTTATACAGCATGTGAAACCCTGTATTTTTAATATATATATATATATTATATTTCGGGAAATTAAATATTTTGTTACATATTTAGTTTATAACTTATATATATATAATTGTTTTCGTACGTGTTATATTTTTAGATTTTCTTATTAGTTATTAAAAAATAGTAGTAATATTATAAATAAGTATATGTATTGCTTTTAACAACTTTATCTCTTTGTTTCTTGCTGACCAAGTTGAATGGCCTAGATATTTTTTACAAACACATTTTAGACTCCAAGTGTCATTCTATTGAGGTGACTAAGCTTTATTTAGCATGAGGTGTTGGCAATTTGATGATAGTTATACTAATCTTGGAGAACAAGTTCCCACGTGGTCATCACCTCCCCACGAATTAGAACAAATTGAATTGTCACACCCCAATTATTATTTATTTATTTATTTTATTTGGGAATGTGAGGTAAAAGAAAAACTAAAACTAAAAATTTAATTATCAAGAAACATGAAGATCGAACGTAAACTTCCGTTTAAGTCAAAGTAATTTACATTGTATTATTACAAGCAAAATAACAAGAAAGTAACAAACTTTCAACAAAACACTCAAAAATATCCATAATCCGTTCTTCTTGTCCTCAGCAAAAACTACACTTCAGTTTCAAAGCCTGCAATAGATTCAATAAGGGGTGAGCATTACATGCTCAGTAGGGGTCCTATGTCTTATGTGATTAGTGAGATTTATAATGTACAATTTATACAATGCATGAATGAACTTCAATTCTACCAAACCCGTTAATCTATATAATAGGGCAAGCAAATCTACATGTCCCATACCATGCATTTTACCACTGTGATTCCGAATGCCCCATTATATAAACTAACACTCATTTCAATCATCCCATAATTCCACTTTTGCTAGTCATCTTGTCTACACCATTGATCTCCAAGCCCAAATCACCCAATCGACAATTATACCGCCGATTTCCTAATCTACCGTGCACACGGGCTCGCCTGAACTTGGTCCCTACAATGGTTAGACTCAACTACACAAAAGATACTTCCCATTATCCTTTTTTCCATAATTTCTTTATCAACCCAACCCAAAAATTCCAACCACCACCGACAACATATGAATATGTCAAAATTCATCAAATTATAATGATAATTGACAACATGTATACATCTAATATCAAGGATAACAATCAA